GGAGAATTGGTTGAATTTTGATAGTAGAGATAGTTAGCAATATATGAGTATGCTTTTGAAATTTGAATTTCAAACTAAAATATTTCATTAATTATATAGAAATATCATTACAATTTACATAATTATTTAACTATACTAGAATTTTGCAAAAATAATGATCATGTTCTAGTTTCATGCCTAATTTTGCAATATATTGTCATGAAACTAGAATATTTATGTTTTTATTTCTTCAAGCAAAGAGGATTCCAATCAAGGAAGATTTTATGTAGTTATATTTGTGTGTATTTTGTTATATGTAAAAATTTATATCTGAGTAGGTCCATGTACTTGCATATGTTTTTATATACATGAACTTTTATTGGTATTTCAACTTATGTATTTTATTATAAGTATAAACTCATATATTTCTTTATGTATGCATATAATATGTATGAACTAAAATATGTGTTTTGAAATAGATTAAATTATGTTTTAATCTATATAAAAAATTATGATATTCAACGAATATTCATACAAATATACTTGTAAGTATACCCACACTTAATGAGTTAGATAACGATTATAGATTTTCACTTGAGTAAATATTAAATATCAAAACTTTATACCTATTATTGTTGAAATCAAGTACAAATAAAAACAAATACCTTACCACCCTTGTTCATGCTTACCCCTATAGCCATGTATTTGTTCATCCCTATACCTGATCTAAAAATTTACTGCTTTAAAGTTTTGATATTCGATGCTTGGTTGCATATTAAAAATTTACACATTACTTAATCTATCAAAAAAAAAAAAAAAAACCCATAAATATACTTACAAAAATACATTTTACAATTTGAACTATATTAGCCATTGGATTAAGAAAACCAAACCCTGATATTGAGGAGAGCCCTCCATTAAATAATTTATATTTTATAATTTAAAATATCCAAATTATAAAATATCAAATTCAAATACCTTTTACTTTTCAAATATTATATTAATTTTTTATATAAATTAAAACATACTTAAAAAATATAAAAATAATGTGTGTTACTTTTGACTCTTAAAAAATTTAGAGTCATAATTTTAAAAATATTCATCATCTTATGGTGAATATTTTTTAAAAGTAATTGTTAGATTTAGTTTTCTAATCATATAGATTATGGATGTCAATTTTTAAATTGATTGAATATATATAATTAGTTAATTAATTATAAAAAATATTACCATTAAATATATATTAAAAAATATAAAATTTTTAATTAAATGATTGTAGATGTTAAAACTGTTTTAAAGCAAAACATAGAGTGACTTGAATGGTTGCCGCCGTTTTGGGCCAAATAAGCCCATTAAGACTCTTTTGGAATCGCCTTTAATATACGTATATATATATATATATTACGTAAGATTGATTGATGAATGATGATATATTACAGAACCAAAAACATCAGGCCCATGACGATAAAACATCTCTCGGCCCATCTAGTATCGAAGCCTCCTCATCTCTGCCGTTTTATAAATGAACGCCACGTTCCACCTCTACCCAATCAGTCGTTGCCACGTCACCGTATTTTTTCAAAGTTCTATTCTGTTCTATTTCACTGTTCTTCCCTCTTTCTTTAAAAGGGAATCCCGACTCTGTTTATGGGTCTTCTGAATTAGCTGAGGAATTCAAGATGGGAGACGAAAGGGGCGGAGAAGCAGTTGACGGTAATAGCAGCAGCGGGGTCGGTGGCAATCAGAGACAGGTTGTGGACATATACCCACTTGGCTGCTACTACTTTGGATCCAAAGAGGCCATTCCTTTCAAGGACGAGACCTTGTCTGATCGTGTTGAGAGGATGAAATCTAAGTAATTTCCCCTCTCCCTTTGTGGAAACTTGAATTGGGTTCTTTTTATTTTGTGATTATCTTTTTGCTTTTTTGTATTTTGACTTCCTCATTGATTTTCTTTTTATTTCTCAGCTATGCTGCCCATGGTTTGAGGACTTGTGTGGAAGCAGTTATTTTGGTCCGTACCTCACTCTGTTTCTCAGTAATGTTGAAAAGTTATAATCTTTTCTAATGTTAAGCTGATTTTCTCTTTTTTTGGCTTAGTACTTATGTTATTGAGTGCTTAAGAGTAAAGGGTATGATTAGGAGAACCTCTGATGATTTTTGTGAGACTTACACATGTTAAGCTGATTTTCTCTTTTTTTTGCTTAGTACATATGTTATTTAGTACTTAAGAGTAAAGAGTATGATTAGGAGAACCTCTGATGATTTTTGTAAGACTTACACATGTGTAATTGGATCCCAGTTCAAAAGGAATTAGGTTATTCTAGTGTTGAGAACAAAAATTTTTTGGAGTTATTTATTTTTTTGTGTTGGACTTACACATGCGTGCTTGGACTTATGTTATTGAGTGAAAATTGATTATTATCTGTGTCATAGTAAATAATGGAGATTTAGGAAATGAAAAAATTCTGTAGTTTCATGCTTTCTCTGAGGGAGATATTTTAAGACCTTGAGATGTGATATTAAAGGAAGGGAATAGCCTATTGATTGTTAAATGGTATAATGATTATGGTAGCATATTGGTCATATGCTTGTTGCTTGGTAATATTCATTAGGAGTGGGAGAGTTATTAGTTTCAAGCACCCCTGTCCTTTGATCTCCCAAAAGTTTTAGGAGATCATTAAGCCTGCTAACTGCTAATCTAGTTGAAGTTTAGAGCATATTACCAAAAAATAGTAGAAGTTTAGAGTAGCACAATGGTCTTGTCCCTAAAAAATTATTTTTTGTGTAACTTTATATAGTGATCCATTTGAAGTTGAGACTTGTCCATTCTATGAGATTCATAAAATTGTGGTTGTCAGAAATAAAATTTTTTTTTACTCTATTTCGTATATGCTTACGCATGTTCCTTCTTCTCAATCAGGTTGAGTTGTTCAAACACCCCCATCTTTTGCTGTTGCAAGTAAGAAATTCCATTTTTAAGCTTCCTGGTGGTCGTTTGAGACCTGCTGAATCAGGTAATTGCTGTAGTTACTAAACTGTTTGACGGAGCATTCTTCTAGGGTTTATTGAACTATGATAGAGCTGAATTTCAGATATTGATGGGCTGAAACGTAAGCTGTCAAGGAAACTTTCTGTCGGTGAAGAATCAAATGAAATTGGTTGGGAGGTATGGTTAATTTCCTTATGTCTATATTGTAGTTTCCTTGTTGTCTGGTGAATATTTCACTTATTCTTAGTGTTCAGGTTGGAGAATGTCTTGGGATGTGGTGGAGGCATGATTTTGAAACTTTGCTCTATCCATATTTACCTCCAAATATGAAAAGGCCAAAGGTATGTGGGACAAACACATTGGTGCTGTCACATTTTGGTGACAAACCTCTCTAAGTTCTCATGTTTGTCTCATTCTGTAGGAATGCATAAAACTATTCCTTGTGAAGTTACCAATGAGCAGAAGGTTCATCGTACCAAAAAACCTAAAATTGCTTGCTGTGCCTTTATGCCAAGTTCATGAAAATCACAAGGTATGATCATCATCACAACTGAAGCAAAATGATTATGCTTAGTAGAATATCAAGATTAAATGGAGAAATTGGGTTTAACATTTCAATATGCATGACTCAATTTCCAGTTAAGTAATCATTTTAAGAAGGTGTTATTTCAATCTTACTGGATGTCTAAACCTAAGATTTTACTAGATCCAAAATTTGAATGTGATTTTAATGCAATTAATTTTTTGAACACCTTTTATAGACATATGGGCCAATAATATCAGGAGTGCCGCAGTTGCTGTCTAAGTTCTCCTTCAACATAATTGACACTTAGATTGTGCTTTATTCGTTAATACATTCCAGTTTGAGGTATGTATATGGAAAACATTGAGAATGATGTATGCTCCTAAATGTTATTGTACTGGGGGTTGGAATTTTTGCCAAGTCCTATGGCATCAGTATAGACTACGGTTGTGTACAGGTATGACATGTTGTAGCATTGAGCGTGCCAATATAAATTTTGTATACATGTTAGCTTCTTGAATCTCTTGTTCCAGGTGTTTGGAACTCGTCTGAACAATTCATGATGTTTAACTTAGCATTCTATTTGTGCTATATGAGCAAACAAATAAAAAAAGGCAGCCACAATGTGATTGCCCCAACATAATATTGTAAGGGTAGAAAGAACTTGGAGGGCAGAGTACTAGGGAATAAATGCATGCTCATTTTTTTTTATTTTTATTTTTTAACTAAAATGCATGCTCATTGTTTGTTCCTCATGGGCAGCTCTCATTTCTGCGTAGGTTAAAATACCAAATTGGTCTCTCAACTTTCAAATTTGTATCAAAATTATCCCTCAACTTCAAAAGGTATTAAATTGGTTCCTGAACTTTAATTTTTAATACCATAAAGTCCTTTCATTAATAGAAATATCATATAATTCGTTATTTTATTACAAAATTAGTTTTTTTAAAACGCTTATAATGTATAAAATTAAATAATTATATTTTATTGTTATGATATATTTTTATTTATATATTAAATTGATATATAATTAAAGTTGAAAAATCAAATTGATATTTGTAATTAAAGCTCAAGTATTAAGCTAGTACTTGTTTTCACAGTTAAGGATTAAATTGTATTATTTTTAAAGTTTGAGGATTACTTTAGTATAAAAAATTTCAATTTAAGGATAGTTTTGATATTTTTTAAAGTTGAGAAACAATTTTGATACAAACCTAAAAGTTGAAGGATGAAATTAATATTCTAACCTTCTGTATAATTTTTTTTTTGAATAAAATGTCAGGGGACGGGTTCGAAACCGTTCATGAAAAAGGGAATGTATCTCAAGCTGACAGACTGTCAGTTGACCTGAAAGGTTAAGTGCTAACCTTCCATATAATTAG